AGTCTGACCGCTAGATGTCGCTAAAAGTTAAATGCTGTAGCTTTAAGTATCAAATGTGTGAACGTTTGACACCACTGCTTAATATTAGGACTACAGCAGCAAAATAGTAAATAGAACACACTCTATTCTAACATTACTTATTGGTGGTTTTTACATTGTTTTTAATGGATGCAGCAACATTTAAAACCTGATAAATATAAAGACTGATTGCATTTAAATGCAAAATATTCACTAATAATTTGTGGGTTCTTGAGATTAAATTATTTTAAAATAAAGTCAAAAGTTTTATTAATTTTAATTAATATTTAAAACATTTACCTTAATAACAGTAAGCACAATTGTTTTTATTTATTTGACATTATACACCATTGAACATTTCTGTAAATGTGTGAGTATTAGCTATGTAGCTGGTTGCCAGCTGTTGTCCCTGGGCAAGGTGTATAATGCCAACAACAATTATAAAACACTCTTTATGGGAGTGTTGGCCTAGTAGTTAGAGCAGTGCGCTTGTGCTCTGAGAAGGTTGCAAGTATCTGGTTTGATCCCCAAAAGCCTCTACTCTGGGACCCTGAGTAAGACCTATAACGCCATACTGCTCTCCGGGCGCCACGCAATGGCAGCCCACTGCCCCCCAAGGGGATGGTTCAAAATGCAGAGATAGCAGCTTGCTAGCTCAAGTTGTAAGCCACTCGTCCTGCATACAGGGGTTCATATCCCAGCTGGGGGGAATGAGCTGCCCGTGGGGGTCGTCAGGCAAATCCTTTATGCTAATGCCTGCTTTGGGGATTGGCAGCTTGTGGTTAGAGCATTGCACCTGGAATCCAGAGGTTCTGAGTTCAAGCCCCACTCCCATGGACTGAGCAAAGACCCATAACCCCACTTTGCTCCCCGAGCGGTGCATAATGACAGCCCACGGCTCACCCAGGGGCATGGATTAAATGCATTTGTTAATTTCGTTGCTCTGTGCTTGTGACAGTGTCATGGCAATAAAACGCCCCTAAAAATCAAACATAAAACAATTTAAAGAAATTGAGGCTACAAAGTTACAAGAGCAGATCGTACACACATTTACTTTTCATTTCATTTAACAAATCATATAAATTTCAAGATTACAGCTCCTATTAAATCAAGTCAGGTTTAACATTAACATAATATCGTGCAATAAAATGCGTCTTCCCAGGTAAAGCGGGACCCGAAACGGCCTCTGGGCTGGATCCCAAGTAGCTCCTCTAGAGAGTTAGAAAAGCTTTTTCTCATCGGACTTTGATCAGACTCTAAATCTGATTCAATATGGGCGCACTGAGAGAGAAGTTGTCAAATTTTGATTGCGCTGCTTCAAGCTGATCCACTCAAAGTGAGCAGACCCTCTACTGCCTTTTATGAAGAGGGAAAACCATTAGCTTTGATATGCAGCCATAACATTAAAATGTTATAGGCTGTGAAGTCTCAGATGTGACAATAGGAGCTACTAGTAGATGTTTGATGTGTTTTGATGGCTGTTTTTGAGGGAGCAGAAGAGAGAGGGGAGAGGTTCTTACTGGCTTTGAGGAGTATTTCGGTTGCCTGCTGCTGAACTCTGTCTCTGGCTGCCTCCAGCTCACACTCAGCCTCCTTCTGACGGATTTCTATAATCTCGGAGTTCTGGGTCACCTCGTCCAGCTGCTTGGTTAGGTCCTAAAGAAGAGTCAAAGCAATGCAAGCAAACTTAAACGATGCAGGCATATGTGATTTAGAAGCAGAAATAAGTAAAGAACAACACATTGGATATCTGCAATCGGGGTAACTTTTTCGCTTCGTTTCTAATGTCGTTTCCAAGGAAAGGGGGTAGCTCTTTTTACACCAATATGAAGATTTAAATAAACTAATAACCTCTTTGCACCCCCTTTGACTTTCCTTGCTCTGTTGTCATTAGTGTTGCAACGATGCCATTTTTTGGGGCCTGATACCCGATACCTGCCTGTGCAGTATTGGCCGATACCATCTGTTTTAAAATTGATGTGTGTGTGTGTGTATATATGAAGAACTGCATACTACTTTGATATAAAATAATTGCCATCATGGTATGGAAGTAAATCTGTGTCGCTGGGATTTGAATTAAAAATGCCACTGAAATTTAAATGTTGTATGTTTGTACTTAATGTTTCAGTGTTAAAATATATTTAGAACACATTTTTGACCTAAAAAGAAGTTCATTGTCATTATTTCTACACAGTTGAAATTTCATTTGTTATTTTCTCTTCAAGCTAAAAAATCACATTACTATTTCAAAGTGATTAAATTTTCAATACTTATTTTTCAGTTTAATTTTTGCGTGTTAAAAAAAATCTGCATATAAAAAAATGCAACCTTTCAAAATTAATACTCAATATTTTCAGCCTCCTGAGATTCAACTGGCTCTATTTCACTGTCTTAAATTCGGCGTCTAAATTCAGTGTAAAAAGGGAAGGGTTACTTCAGGTCACAGACATTAGCAATGGATTGTGGTGTCCAACACCCAGCCAATCCCGTTCACGTGACGTGACGCTTGTGGCTCTCATACGGAAGGAAAACCAGCATGACGGAGCCGGTCATGCAAGCTAATGCTAACTCAACAGTGATATTATTACTTTCATTTTTCTGTAGTTCAGTTAGCATTAGCGTGCATGACCGGTGTAGGTACCAGATTGACTTGGGGGCCTGCGCCTTTTGATGATGTCACAATACATAATTGTTTTAACGTTTGCACAATTGCGCAAAAAATTTTGATTGGTCTGGACAGCTTACTAAAGTAATTATAGCGGGGTGTAGGTTTTATTC